TGTATACTGCCTGGTGGTGGCTCAGTGTCTGGGAGCTCCCTGGGGTCGGGGTTGGTTGAGACTGCTGGTCTTCCTATGGGGTCACCCTCCTTCTCAGCCCACCAGGCTGCTGTCAACTGTTCCCAACTGGAGAGATGTGAATGGGTTTTCTGAACTCCCGTCCTGCAGGACTTCCCACGGCCTCAAGACTGATCGATCCAGTTGGAAAGTGGCACTTCCTGCCCCACCCCCACCCAACTACCACTCCACGGGACTATCAACAAAAGCACAAGTAAGGCCACACTCAGTTCAAGGGGCCCAGCTACCCCCATGTGTGTAAAGAATGCTCTACATTTTGTGAGGGGGTAGGATGGCAGGCACATCTTACCACTGGAAAAGTGAAATGGCAAGGTGAATTGGCAAAGGTTGGAGTCAGGTGGGAGGGACACGACAGATCTAGAAGGGGAAATCAGAGATGAAATAGCAGTCAATCGGGACAAGGAGAGCATGGAGTCTCCTGATAGCAGGAGTTCTCCCCGACCCCTTCACTGAAATCAGACATTGGCGGCTGCTTGCATTTTTCTTCAAGAGTAACTTTCAGGGCTTTGTAGCTGAGTGGTCATGCCAGTCTCTGGGTTTATAGGAAGCTTAAATGAGATTGTGGATGCGAAAAATCAACTCAAGACAAAAAAAAATTTTTACAATCAGACTACCAGCATCTAAAAAACAGCATAGATTTATTATTCTTCCCTCTCCAGGCTTTTAAGTCAGAGCAGGTATGGCATAAATGTGGAACACTGATGGCAGAGGCTTCCGGAAGCGGGGGAGGGGGGGTCATGTGGCAAGACCATACAGACATGATGCTGTCTACGAGATTTTGAAGATGAAGCAAACCTCACCTTGTTCCTCCAACTTAGCAAAACCTACTGTGGGGATCTGCAAGGATGAGCCCAACAGTTTAGTGATTAAAAGAAAGTGACATCGCACAGTTCCTGCTAGCTCTCTGAGCTAGAAGATGGACAGGCATGCTTCGTGGAAGCTTGTTAGGCTCCTCATTATCAGAGCAAGGGTCGACAGAAACTCATGAAAATGCAACCAAGAAATGCCCTGAATCTTCTAGAATAAGTTCTGCTCCGTGCTGGAACAAGATACTTGTTCAATTTCCATCTCAGATTTCTCAACAATAATCATTTGAATCAGTTATCTGGAACTAAACTTTCTAAGCAAACTATTTCATTGGACAGGTCCCTATGGAGACTCTCCAGCTTCTCTCTAGAGTCTAGACATTGGAGATGGAGGGAGTCCGCAGACTCAACCAGTTCTACATGGGTGAGGGTAACCTTTAGCACACCGTTTTTATTTGGCCTTTCTCTGAGGAAGGGGTGGGGTTGACTGCAGCCCAATTTAAGCTGTAACACTTTGGGTTGATCTTGGTCCTGCAATTCAGTCAGAAAAGCAGAATAGCCTCATAAAATCCCATGGGCTCCGTGTTGGTTCAAAGGACAATGCTGAGGGCTCATAGCATCTAAGGAACAGGACAGTAGACCCAATGAGGCAGAACAATGGACAGAAGGCAGGTTTCTGTGCATTCCACCCCACAACAGCTCTTTCTTACATTTTATAAGTTGGGTATTTGCTTATGGTTGAAAACCCCTGCCATCAGCACGATTTAAAAGAGAGCAGTGACTTCGCCTGATTTGGTATTTCTTAGCAGCAGGGACAGAAAGGGACAGTGATGCCTCTAGGAATTCTGGATCCAGGGTAGAAAAACAGGATCAGGCTGCACACACACACACAAATTCTCTTCGTCCAACTGAGGCTAATAAAAGTAGTTATCTCTTCTCTCTGGAGACTGGCTTCCTGGAAAACAGGGTAAGTGTGATGGTAAAGAAGCTAGCTTTAGAATCAAGTGAGCCCAAGTTGGAGTCCTGGCTCATCAGAACCCTAGCCTGTCTGAGCTTTAGTTTACTCATATTGAATGGATGTAGTAATAATAACTACTTCCATAGGTTCTAGTATAGGATCATATCACTGGCAGATAATGTCAATTGTATGTTTATCATACTTTCTTCATAGTTCTTTTGCCTGATTAAATGCAATGTGTAGAACCTCCAAAAACAAACAAGAAACAAAATCCCACTATGCTTACTGCGAGCCGGATTGTCCCTGGCCTTGATTTGAACTGCATCTTTAAGTCTAAATGAGATACTCCATAAACCACCTTATGATATCATTTGCAAAAGAAAATTCTTTAAGATAAGGGGCACTATTCCACCGATTATTTATGCTTTTTATTTCATTTTAAACTTGACTTAAGTTTGACCTTTGATTAATCTTCAAACGTATTTAAATTGTATCATGTGATCAATGTAACTTAAAATACCATGAAAACACATACACACACACATACACACACACACACACACACACACACACACACAATCTACCACTGAGCTGTACTCCGGAGCCACTTTGTATTGTTTCAATGGCCAACTATAGCATTTACACACATTAAGCATTTACACACATTATTTCATCAAATTCCCACAAACCTTCTATGTGTGGTCACTGTTTTATGCTTGTCTTATAAATGAAGCAACTAAGGAACTAGGAAGTTCAAAAACTGTGAGCGAGTTTCTGAGACTGGTAAATATCAGAGCTGAAATTGGAACCTTGAACTTAGGCTGTGACGCTCTATCATTTCTACCCAACCTGTCCTCATTTTGAAGCTCCTAATTTCAAATTCAGCATAGAGCCCAGGGTCCTGCCCTTGGGCCTCCGGACACATTTTCCCTGACTGCAGAATCAGTCCCCCGGTGGCTGAGAGCTGGCCATCTGGAACAGCTAATCCTCATGGATTCATTCATCTTACCAAGTCACCTTGACTGAGTCGGGCTCAGATGAAAGAATTCAGTAGAGTTGCTTCTCTGGCAAAATGAGAGAATTGTTCCAGACATTTTTGTAAAATACAAGTGCAAATGTGGACTTTTTGAAACTGAGAGCAAACCAATGCTATCCATGAAAAGCTAAGAGTAGAAACAAGGCTCTTGTAAGCTGTTGGAGATACTGGCTGCTACAGTACACACACTTCACATTTGTTTCCAAGGCACAGAGCTACCCTGTGAAGGTCTGAACCCTATACCTACTTTCATTATCAAGACTGGTGGTGGCAGGTCCATGACCATAGGTTTTCTTCTTATCTAGAAAAGAAGATGAAAACATGAGTGGCAATGAGGCCTCAGACTAGGCTAGAAGCCTGTAGCACCCCAGGGATCCCAGATTGCCTGGCCCTCACTTTATGGACACAAAATGTGATTTCTCTTATCAAATTCTGAGAAACAAAAGTCTGCACATCAAACAACCTTTGGAAACTTCTCCCATCTCCCAGGAAGAGCTAGGGAAGGGTCTCTAGCTTGAATGCAAGGGACATCAGCATTGATAGGGGAACGTGAAGAGCTTCTCCAGATGAGACTTCGATAATGAACATTTGTATATGAATGTGTGTCACAGTCTTGGAAATACACAATGCCTGCAGCATCGTTTGTCCCTGATGTGCCTCACTTATAATAGATGCTCACTAAAGGGTTGCTGAATTGAATTGGAACTGTATAGAACTGTTATATTTGGAAAATGCTGATTTCAGCCATCTGTTTTTTAAGCAACTGTTGAAGCAGGGTTCTACTTTGTGTATGCATGCATATGCATATATATGTATATACATGTATATACATTATATATATATACATACACACAGTTATATATATACATATACACACATACCTATGTTCATACACACACACAGAGTTGGTCTTATTTTCCTCCCAAATCCATATTTTTTAAAAAAGAAGACAGGAATATAAATTTTTAGCAGTTTCCTAAGCATGCCATTTCTTGTCTATATAATCAAACTATGGAAATAGCGAAATCCTATTTTAATGGGAAATTTGTTTTCAACATGGGACATAGTGCCAGACTTCATAGGCTATGTTGAATTGGTCCTTTGTGGGCTGTATGGTTAATCACAGCAAACAGAACATCCAGTGATTTCCTTCAGGCATGAAACCACATGCCTGATTATAAGGTTGTGAAAGAACATAATTCACACAGGGTACAGAATGCTAGAGACACAGGCTTGTTTTCATGAGAGAGTATTATAAATATATGTATGTGTTATGATATGTCTATACATGCTCACATATGTAATACATACAAACATATATATCACTTCACAAGAAAGGAAAACCTTATGGCAGAGTGCAAGAGTGCATTGCTATTTTGGTGGAAGTATTGTGGACTCAGTTCTCTTCCATCTCTTCTTTAAAACAAACAAATAGACAAAAACAACAACAGCAACACCAAAGAAGGGACTCTTGTTCTGTGTTGTGAATCTAGCAACTGTTGAGTGGGAACATATTGGGTGAGTGAGTGAAGAAAATGTGAACAAGCCTAGAGGACATGTTTTTGGGTAGGGGGAGAGGAAGCGATCAGGGTACAGAAATCCAAAGGAAAGCAAGTAGGGTGAGCCCAAGGCCCAGGAGAGCGTCACAGCCAGCCAGAGACTGTTGTAGGTGCAGTCAGCTATGGGGCTGCCTCTCCAGTTGCTTTGAATTTTAATGTGTAGAGCAGATGGTTGGTAGAGATTGCCCTTGTTTTTGCCCAGGAGTCTGGCATCATTGCAAGTTGTCAACCTGTTTGGAGAACAGAGTTTGAGCCTGTAGGTACGTCATAGAGCTCTGTTTTGCAAATAGATGATTTAGTGGAATGGAGGTAAATGAGACTCTATGATTTTTAGGCATGAGCCCATCATTTTTTTTCTAGGACAAAGCCAAGTCAACCAATTGGGGAGATTATTTCAGGCCAACTCTGCCTGTCTAGCTCTCTCCACATCCTACTTTAGCCATTACACTGTATGTGTGAGTGTGGCCTAGTAAAAATATATGGAAGTTTTAAATAAAGGAATGCCCCTTGGCAGCAGACTTATCTATGTCCAGAGTGGCAGCAATTAGTCTTAGCCTCTAATGTCATGCCAAGTCACTGTCAATCATAGTAACCTTGCAAGTGTCTCTAAGCATTTCCTTACAGTGGCCTGAGTTGGGAGGCAGGTTCATGAGCAATCCTGTGCTTCCAGCTCTCTTGGCAGGGCTGCAGTTTTCCCTGGCAGCAGGTTCCAGAGGATGGTTTTGGTTTCTATCCTGTTGGACTAAATGTTGAAGGGACCCACGTGTCCCATCAGGGTAGACCTCTGAAGCCAAATGCCTGTCAGGAAAGACACAGAAGTAGGCAGGCTCTAGGAAGTCTGGCCTCGCTAGGGAGGAGAATTGCCACAGCTCCTGAGGATGTGCGGAGGGGAGCTTGGGCATGGACAGTGAGTGCTGATCCATAGCCTTAGGACCATATCCATCCATGCTGCTGCTACTGGCTCCATTTGCAGGAGATGCTTTTGGCTGTGGCTTTGTCCAAGAAGCGAGACGCCACTGATTCGGGGGCATGCTGCTATCTGGAAAAGATTTAAACATTATGTTAAATATTTTCTCTAATGTTAAATACAGAAGTAATCGATTATTCCTGATTAATATATAATATATATTATATATACATGAATCTATATAATTTATTTTTATTATTTGTGTATGATAAAGAAGTATGTATAAGGGCAGGAGAATGGCCATAGCAAAGGTCAGAAAAACAACTAAAACTGTCCAGTGGAAAATGGACAGCATTTTCAACAAATGGTGCTGGTTTAACTGGAGGACAACGTGTAGAAGAATACAAATCGATCCATTCTTATCTCCTTGTACAAAGCTCAAGTCCAAGTGGATAAAGGATCTCCACATAAAACCAGATACACTGAAACTACTAGAAGAAAAGGTGGGGAAAAACCTTGAATACCTGGGCACAGGGGAAAAATTCCTGAACAGAACACCAAGAGCTTATGCTATAAGATCAAGAATTGACAAATGGGACCTCATAAAATTGCAAAGTTTCTGTAAGGCAATGGACACTGTTAATAGGACAAAATGGCAACCAACAGATTGGGAAAAGATCTTTACCAATCCTTCATCTGATAGAGGGCTAATATCCAATATATACAAAGAACTCAAGGAATTAGACTCCAGACAACTAAATAACCCTATTAAAAAATGGGATACAGAGCTAAACAAAGAATTCTCAACTGAGGAAACTCGAATGGCCGAGAAGCACCTAAAGAAATGCTCAGCATCCTTAGTCATCAGGGAAATGCAAATCAAAACAACCCTGAGATTCCACCTCACACCGGTCAGAATGGCTAAGATCAAAGACTCAGGTAATAGCAGATGCTGGCGAGGATGTGGAGAAAGAGGAACATTCTTCCATTGTTGGTGGGACTGCAAGATGGTGCAACCACTTTGGAAATCAGTCTGGCGGTTCCTCAGAAAATTGGACATAGCATTACCTCAGGACCCAGCTATACCACTCCTGGGCATATACCCAGAAGATGCTACAACATAGAACAAGGACATATGCTCCACTATGTTCATAGCAGCCTTATTTATAATAGCCAGAAGCTGGAAAGAACCCAGATGTCCTTCAACAGAGGAATGGATACAAAAAATGTGGTACATTTACACAATGGAGTATTAGTCAGCTATTAAAAACAATGAATTTGAGAAATTCTTAGGTAAATGGATGGAACTAGAAAATATCACCCTGAGTGAGGTAACTAATCACAAAAGAACACACATGGTATGCACTCACTGATAATTGAATATTAGCCCAGAAGCTCGCAACACCCAAGATTCAACTCACAGGCACATGAAGATCATGAAGAAGGAAGACCAAGTGTGGGTGCTTCGGTCCTTCTTAGAAGGAGTTACAAAATACTCATGGGAACAAATATGGAGACAAAGTGTGTGGCAGAAACTGAAGGAGGGGCCCTCTGGAGACCATTCCACCTGGGTATCCATTCCATGTGCAGTCACCAAAGGTAGACGCTGATGTGGATGTCAGGAAGTGCATGCTGACAGAAGCCAGATATAGCTGTCTCCTTAGAGGTCTGCCAGAGTCTGACATATTCAGAGGCAGATGCTCACAACTAGCCATTGAACTGATCATGGGGTTCTCAATAGAGGAGTTAGAGTGAAGACTGAAGGAGCTGAAAGGGTTTGTGGCCCCATGAGGAGAGCAACAATATCAACCAACCACAGCTCCCAGGGTCTAAACCACCAGCCTGGGAGCACTTAGGGAGGGACCCATGGCTCCTGCTGTATATGTAAGGGAGGATGGTCCTGTCAGGCATAGGTGGGAGAGGAGATCCTTGGTCCCATGAAGGCTGGACGCCCCAGTGGGTGGGAATTTGAGGGTGGAGAGGTGGGAGTGGGGTGGTAGGTGGGGGCACATCCTCATAGAAGCAGGAGGAGGGGGGATGGGGTAGGGGGGAAATGGGATAAGGGGATAACATCTGAAATGTAAATAAAATATCCAATAAAAATTAAAAAAATAAAAACTGGGGAAAAAAAATAACTTTCAGGAGTCAGTTCTTTCCTTCCCTGATGTGTTCCAGGGATTGAGCTGAAGTCATCAGACCTGCTCAGCAAGTGGTTTTACCCACTGAGCAATCCCACCAGCCCCAAGGTACATTTTTTGACTTGAAGCAAACAGAAAATGTTTTGTAAAGCCCACACTAACCACAGTGTCCATAAATAGCTACTTCCCCTCAATATTTGTTTATATAATTCTTCAGACTGATTTTGCTTAATTAAAACATAATGAATATCATTGAGCATAGTGGCACATGCCTGAATTTCATGCTTAAGAGACTGAGGCAGGAAGGTTGGCTTAAGTTCAAGGCAGGTCTGAGCTGCATGGCGAATCTAAGAGAATTCTAGGCTACAGTGTAAGCACTGTTTCATGAAACAAAGAAAACAAACATCCTGTCCCAGCAATGAATAGAGCCAAACAGGAGCTTTTTTTCCAAGTTACTAATTTGAATGTCATCACTTCCTTTCAAAAGATTTATTGCACAACCTTAAATCAAGAAAAAAATAAGGTGAAAATATAAGCATTTGTTATGTTGACTGAATCCAGAATGGCTACAGAAATTTACGACATGATTTAGAACAAGACAACACAGAAGGGCATCCCATTTCAGAGTGAGATACAAAATGCACATCATTTTATTTTGGTCAGGATAATTCCCTTTTGCTTAAGGAATAAGTTGGATTTGAGTTCTTTTTACTAAAGAAGTCTTTAACAGTATCAAGATATTTGAGAGGAGCCCAGCACACAGCTAATACGAACAGTAGCTTTTAAATGGCTGTATACTGTTCTATCACACAGCAGTAACGGAGTAACAAGTATTCCATTTGCGGGCAGCTCAACTGTTTACATTTTTAATTTTTTACTGACATCTCAGTAGACAGCTTTGTACATGCATCTTTGCTGCCACATGAACCAATGGCCGCTTAAGTCATCTTTTGTCATCGCATGTTTGATTGTGTTACATAGCTGCTCTATTCACAGCTCTATTTCACAGCTGATATTTGAAATACAGCAAATGGGAAGACTCCACAGAGTATAAACTAGTACTTACCTGTATTGGTCTTTCCCACAACCCCAGGAACTAAACCTTAATCCTAGACATGAAAACGGTAAGAGACTGGGCCATAGTAGCTAACTATATTGGGCTTGTAGGAAACTGAGCAGGAGCAATGAATGCTCAATAGGAAAGTAGTTGCTTGGTCCTCATCCTACAACAACAGAATGGTTGGAGTCAACAGGCGACACCATTTCTACGTGTCAAGTTCATGTGGGCTGACTAATGGGGGTGGGATCTCCTTGAGTCCTGATTCTAATTGCACCTGGGATATCAGCTGACTGAGATATCAAATGTCTACCATAGCAAAGAACATGAATGGATATTTTCTCCGCTGTCAGCATCCACTCAAGCAAGAGGCTGGAGGGAAAGATTTCTGCCGGGTTGGAGGTAAAGATGCTGCTTAAAGCCTAGAGTCTCTCATCTATCTAAGATAGTGGAGAAGTGGGCAAGGAGGAGGACCATGACTGGATGACAAAGAAGAACTGGTTAGCATGAGAGTCTGCCTGAGATACTGGTTCCCTTTCCCTCCATAGGCACCTCTTTCGGTTTTAAATTTTCAGTTTGATTGGATTTTGTATAAAACAAAAAACCATCTTAGAGGCTGATGCAGTGTTGCTAGAGTGTCCCTCCCTGTGGTAATGTTGCCTGGAATGCAGATAGTAAACGTAAAAGAAGCTAGATCATACATGGCACAGGCACTCAGCTCAACACCTCATATCCCTCACAAGGAGCAATGGCCATAGTAGGCCTTTTAATGAAATTGAAGACAGGGAGACATATTGGAATATATTCCTTGGGATTTATTTATTTATTTATTTATTTATTTATTTATTGGGATTTATTTCAAAGTAAATGTTATTTTAAAAGTTGATATTTCTGGCTACTAGCATCTCAGGGCACTGTGTGCCCTGGAACAGAATGATTAAGCTGATTTCATATAATCAGTGCCCATGCTTCATATTTAATGGGAGTACTGAATGTCCTAAGCACAAATTATAAACATAGCTTAGCCTCTGACAACTGGGCAGCTTTTGTCTGGACTGACTTTACAGATCTCATACATATGCTTCAGGTGGACATCTGAGAGGTGAAAAGCACAGCCACAGGGGGTTCTGAATATTTCTATTAACTGTTTTTGTTCTGGTTAAAGGGAGTTATGTAGTATACATTGTCCAATGTCCCATGTAGTTAGTCACTTGGTGCACCGTGGTACAGTTTCGATGCAAGAGTATGGGTGTGCACTTGAGGTTGCAACTCTGAAGTCATATCACCTCAGCGGTTGTGTGTGGCCTGAGAGTCCACTTTTTCTAGACCAAGCTTGGACACTTGTGGCCCAGAGAGTGGAGACCCTGCATTGGGTGGGCTGCCCCTTCTCAGGCTTCTTGGGTAACAACACCTGCAGCAATATCTATCTGTGGGCATAGGGTGGAACCTTAAACTTTGCCTTGGACAGTCTCAAGGTTGCTGCAGCAGCAACAGTCTGACCCTCTTAATTCCCTCTTGGTGCATGTGCAAGAGGGCCTAAGTGGTACTTTCTCAAATGCAAAATGACATGAACGGCTGGAGAGCGTTTAAATACTTGGATTCAGGGACTTTGATTTCAGTAAGAACATAGATGGCTTCCACCCCACATAGTCCCACTGTAAGCATCTAGACTTTGCCTTTAGAGGTCCTGAGGCTCGCTTGTCCTAAGATCAGGAGTGCCCAGAAAGTCAGAAATCCTACTCTTCACTTCTCACTATTTAAATTTAGGTGGTAGCCACTCTTCCTTCTTCCCAAGAATATCCAGAGACACCAGCATCCCCACCCATGCAAACTTTTGCAACCCCTAGAACCTACTAGAAGGCCTTTCTTGTACTGTAAAGCTTCCATTCACATCAGGGAATGATCCTACCTCAGTGCTTGGATGTAAACCCAGACCT